CCTGCAAAAGTCTCAAGCTTTATGGCATGAACGCGTATCTGTTTTGTGCTGAAGCAACTGTGACAGAGAGCTTGTATGATCAAATTTATTCACTGGATTTTTCAAAACCCTTAGTAGTGGGGAGTTTTGATTGGTTTTCTTATCTTTTTTCTACCTCAAAGGGTCTACGCAGATTATTCTTTAACCCAAATAATTTCAGTGACCCATTCTACAGCATGTCCTTACAAACAGTAGTGTTGGCGCAACTTGAAGGAGTATTGCACTGCAGCATAAGGCAGAAATAATAGATGGCATGGCATGGCATGGCATGGCATGGCATGGCATGGAGGTGGAGAATGTGCTAATCTTAGATGAAGGGCCTTTTTGTCAGAAGTGGTAGTTTGAGGAAAATGGACATGGAATGATACTGCAGATCTCTTGTATCTTTGTATGTTATCACTCCTGTAGTATCAATTGAAATTCCAAATTTCTCTTTACTTCTATTTTGAAAATCAGAAACCAGATTGTAATTTTTAGGAGTGTTAGTTAACAATATGTTTCAAGAATTCTGTTGAAATGGGAAGTGACTCCACATACACTTTGGGGAGGTTGGTGATTTATTTTCTTGGGATAGATTGTTTCTAAACCAGACCCATCAATAGGCATTTGACGTTTGCACACTTGTTTGTAAGAAATGTTATTTTGCGAGATAGTCCTTTATTTTGTGGGATTTTTATATATCTCCTTATGTTGGAGAGTGATTACTGATTCAGTGTAAAATCAATGTTCTTTCTCTTATGTTAGTTCCTATGTCCCTTTTTCAAAATGCTTGTAGGAGAGGAAACGCTTGCTTGCATGATTATCCTTTTAGTTCTTGCATTTCATAAGCTTGTGAATTTTTTTTTTTTTTTGAGTAGCATTTTCCTTGATTCTTTTATGAAAATGACTTGCGGTCTTGAGTTGTTTTGCGTGGTTAGCAACCTGAATGCAGATTTCTCTGTCAGACAGCACACAGCTTGGGCTGGCTGCATCTAAAATAAAAATTAAATTCCAAGGCAGAAATACTTGCTTTACTCTATTAGTCACTGGCTGAGATAGTTGAGTGTAACCATGTCTAAGATGATTCACGGAGTGCTCTAACATCTGATTAGCTCATAGAAAAGAAAATCTGATTCAGGGAGTTATTTTTCCATGTTCCGAAACAACGTATTGTGTGATGCCTTTTCACTGTTTTTTTTATGTGGTATGAAAGCAAAATAGCGCTTAAGGCTAGAAGGGGATGAGCGACGCTTGCCATCTGGAAGTTGTCAGAGAAGCTAAAGCCAGCCTTGAAGTACTTAGTGACCAAGTAACAACATCATCTTGACAGAATCTGTGTAGCTAGTGAAATAACACATACATAAATGCAAACGAGATGAACAATTTAATATTGAGTTAATGAACTGCATGTTTACGTCATTATCAAATACAACACTTAATCATGCTGTGTACTAACAAATAAGAATATTTTTGGTGAAATCTCCCAGTGCCATTTTGCTAGGAAGGTGCATTTAAGAGTGGTTACATGAGTAGAGGTTGAATTTCTCTCACTTTACCTACACAAGGGTTGTTTGTATTTCTGGGAGTTAATGTCAATTTCTAGTGATATCACATGGATGACATCAGGTGTTTCACAGGGCTTTCTCATTTTGCTATGACTATAGCCCTTTTAATACTTGATTTGTTTGAGTGTGTTTTCATTAGATTAGGATCTCATTTTGGTACCTTTGTAGCAAAAACTTTCTTCTCAAAAGCAGTTCCATCTAAAATCATCAAAGCTACTTGCAAGCAACCCTCGACCCAGGAGAAGGCCTTTTTGTGTTCTCATAGGATGCTGCATATTCAGAAATAGCTTGATGTACTGCATTCTGTAACTTTTCCTTGGTGAACCAGATTAATTTGTACAACTGTGTGTGCAGAATGCCACTTACACATTTAAAAATCATCGTGATTTGATATTTTAAATATTAATGATGATACATATGTGAGAACCGCTCAGATATATTCAGTTGGAAATCCTACTGACTAAAGTAAAATTTCTGTCTTAATGCAGACTTAATGCAGAATAGTTTGACACGAAGTAAGTTTTTGTGGAATGCTGATGTTCGAGATTCTTCCTTGTTATTCTGGTTAATTAGTTCATATCAGAATTTTCCTTAGAAACAAACAGGGGAGTAAAACATGCTTAGATCTGGTCAAAAGATGTGTGTTTGCATTAGGAGTGGCTGGTTTGGTTATCAAATTTCTAAGGGGAGGTAGTCAGAACTGTATATAAAACTAGTAGGCAGACCGAGGGGCAGATCATATTATGATATCCTGAAGACACTTTGTAGACTGGACAACCCTGCCTCTGAGTAGGACCATGAATAGCATGTCCGGGGGACAAGGGCTAGAGTTCATATGCTATGTGCTGTTTGTAAAAATATGTAGTGCAGTTAATCCGTTGGATGTGCAGGTGTTTCAATTTCATAATGAACTGGAATAACAAAATAGCTACTTGTTTTTATGATGTTTTTCAGTAATCCTAGAACAAAGTCATAAATAGGCAAAGAGATTTTTAGTCCATTGTATAATACAAGTAGTATGGGTTTAAGTGACAGTGGTGAATTGATGCAGTGAGAAAGATTAATTTTATCACATAAGAGGTCCCTGTGGAAGAAGCAGCAGCACATTGTACCACAGCCTTCCATGAGGCTACATCCCATCCTGAATGTAGGTTATGTAATTAGTGCAGTTAAATCATAATGTGTCTAATGTAATCTAATTCAAAAGACGGTAGAGAATAGGTTGAAGGCAGAGCTGTCAGCAGTTATAACTGTAAAATAAAAGTGGCAGTGCTTTTTCCAAGCCTGACTAGCTGCTGTAATCTGGCTTTGCATAAACAGTGCTGCTGAATGTACTACTAAGGCAAGTATTTTTATAGAGGATGAATTGTTGGGGTTTTTTTTCAGCCTACCCAGAATCTACTTGCAGTATTTGGTGGCAAACATCCACTGATTACATATTTCTAATTAATACATTATATAGTAATTTCTTTTTGAGAAAGTCTGAGTAAAGAGTAGCAATAAGCAAGCAGTAAAGAAAATTCTAGAACTTATTTGGCACCAAGTGTCTGTGCCTTTCTACCTGTTAGCTTTTTTTTGCAATTCATTTTGCAATTCATTGCTGTTTTTGCAATTCATGATCGTAAAACAGGGAGTTATTAGCCACCAACATTCCCACACAATGCGCAATAAAATTTCATTATCTTGTTGTATGGTAATTTAGAATATGCTTTTTTGTCATGTCCTGAAACCCTGTGTGAGTTCTGTCATCAGAGAATGCTGTGGTGTACTGAGGGCCATACGTTAGCAGCCTTTTTCTTGTTCCATTTGAACTAACCCACCTCTGAGCAAAATCAAACCTACCATGTCTCCTAAACTCCTCCTTTATGCCTGGAAATCAGAATGAGGCTGTGCCTTTCTACACTTAGATTACAGCGTGTTATGCTTTGTTTCTTCACTTTAAATGCTTACAACAGTACTAAAATTAAGACACCATGTTCCTCATGGAAGATAAATGCCAGAGATTGAAAAGAATTCAGCTGTATTGTACATTTGGCTTCTACTTAATAAAATGAGTGCATAAGAAATACAGATGGAGTGGAACAGAGCTTTCTTACCTCTTTGCTTATATACTTGGACATTGGAGTGAAAATTATCTCTGGGGATATGTTAAGTAGTAGACTCCCTTTTCCTCCTCAGACAATTTCGCAGACCACTAGACCTTTCCTGATGATTGCCAACAAATCTCATTTTGGATTTGCAAAATGTGTCTTAGAGTTCACAAGCCATCTCAAGTGTTTTGTGTGAAAATATTTATACTTTGATAGTCTTCATCAAAATGACATACCTGGAGTTACTGGTCTTTATTTGTCATCTCTGCTCACATTTTGTTCTTGTTCAAGATGTACTGTTGCCTCTTGATTCTGTGCCAAAAATTACACCATTATCTTAGGGCATTGTGTGCCAAAACGTATTGTGAATCATTGCTGAGCTGCATGAGGTAAAGGAGAGGTAAGCATACCCTTCCTGCTTGCCACCGGTTTTTCTCCCTCCACTTAGCACTGCTGTTATCTAAGATATGTAACACAGTTGCTGTCTGCTAATAGTTTGGTTATATTACTAGATGTGATCACAGCTTGTTTTAGTTCATGTTTGCATATTGACTTGAACTGTATTTTCTTTTAATGGCAGTATGCCAGACTTCATAATGATGTTACTGACTAGAAACTTATGACAGTACATGTGCATGAAAGAAGAAAGGGAACTCGCCTGCTGACAGAGACAAAAATGGTTGGTAGAGCTAGAAGAGAAGGCTGGTTGGTTAAGTCACGCTTCAGAAATAAAACTGCCTTTGCAGTTTAGGTAGGCCCTACTTAGCCTAATAAAGAGAGATGCGTAATTTTTGTACTCAAATCCCATCAGCTGTTAATGAGAGGGTGGTAGCAGATGCTTTTTTTGACATTTGAAAGTTCTCCAAGGATGCTTTCTCAGTTATAAACAGGAGGTGGAGGGGAAGTAGAGATTAGTCTAGGCAAAAATGCTCAGTAAAGTCTGGAACATGCATTAGAGGTGGCTTAAAAATGTCTGTAGTTCATAAGTAAATGGTGGAACTGTTAACTGATTATTTGCTATAAATAAAAAAGATGCTGACTGGACATGTCTTCCTTGGCCACAAAATAACATCAGATTACATTTCAGCTATGCATCTTTCTTTCCCACTTTTAACAAAAGCATTGAGCTAATTAGATAACTAGCATTTTGACTTATGTGGCGTAGTAAAATATTTTTTTTTAATTATAATTTCACACATTTTCCTAATAAGAGAAACTTGTGCTTTGAAGGCCTGTTTTTACTTAGGTTTTCAAAATGCTGCTACGTAATTCATATTGTAAGTAGTCTTTTTTTGTTTCAGTACAGCCATTTCTTCTTTGTTGATAGGTTCTAGAAAGTTTTAAGATCATGGATTACAGTCTGCTACTGGGAATCCACATACTGAACAGTAACATGAAGGAAAAAGAGGGAGAGAGTTCCCAGAGCGCATCGGATGCGAAACGTCCTGGAGGGCAAAAAGTTCTCTATTCCACAGCCATGGAGTCTATACAGGGCCCTGGGAAGTCAGGGGACTCGATCACCACAGAGACAACAAACACGTAAGTGCCATAACCTGCTCTTAAGGTTACTGTTAAAACTTGCACATTCTGTTTCTTCAGTCTGTGCCACTTGGTATTAAGAGGCAAAACATTCAAGTGTACACTGCGTTTCAGGAATTGAAAGATTAAGCCTTTTTTTTTTTCTTCCCTAAAAAGCTGTACCATCAGGATTTGCTGCAGAGCAGGAAATTAGAACATTGATTAGTAGATTGATCATCTTTAAATACATGATAGCAAATTTGTTTAGTTCAGAGTATGTATGCACAAAAGATGTTATGAGACAGCTATTACAAGAGTCCCAGGTATAATCTAATTTTAACTGGAAGCAGCCTGATAAGCCATAAGAAAAACTATTTATTAACATTGAAATGGATATTCCTACAGTGTTTATTTTCATTTCAAAGTAGTATACTCAATACGTAAAACTGTATCATCAATCACTGAAGTGCAGTTATAGCCATGTATGATGTTTCCTGAGATTAAGAACTTTCCTTTTATTTTTCTATCTAGCAAAAACTGCAGTAGAAATTTAAGTATATAGATGATAGTTATTCTATAGTTTCCTTTGAAATACATTCAGTATTAGTGAGAGCATTATGTTCACCATTCTCATTCTATATAATCAGTCATTCATTATAATGTGGTTTAATTTCAAACTAAGAATTTACTCTTCTCCTGGTTCTCAAGTGAGCTGTCTAGGTAAATACAACTAATGATGTAGAAACATGTGCTTACACATACAGCAAACAAATGATATTTAGCATTTATAGAGAGTTTCCAGATGTTCAGAGCTCTAGAATAGAAATTAGAGCTGAATTTCACTCAGTTTTTTCAGCATTACTCACATTCACACACTCTTGTATGGTGGCAGAGGTGTTGCACCGGCAGTTTTGGGAGATGTTGTTTTTTGGTTTCATTTTGAGTTTGTTTTTTTAACTAAAAGCCGAAGCTGATTATATAGGTCATCCAAGAAAGTCCCTGTGGTTATTATGTATGGAAACCCACCCTGGGTTCCCAATATCACTTGAGCTAACGTAGTGCTGCCCAGATCCTGAGCAGTGTAGTACTGCTGCAGAAAGCCTACTGCAGCAGTTGAGTCTTTCCTTGGCCCCTTGCACTATCTCCTTTCTCATATTGACATAACTGGTAGCGTGGCAAACCTAACTGAGGTGGATGAAAATAAGCCTAGATATTACAAAAAAGACCCATAGGTCAGTCTTCTGCTGTGGTTCATTGTAAGGCCGTAGAAGCATGAAGATGAGAATGGATACCCAGCAGCAATAACTTGTCCTGGATTGAATTTACAGTCATAGCTTCCAGGAAAATCTAACAGAATATAGTTTTGTAAAACACTTAACACTTCTGAATGTCTGACCAGTTAATTGAGCTGGAGTTCATGGTAAACGGGGTTTTACAGTAATTTAAACTCCACTTGTTGTTACATGGTTTCCTTTGTACCTAGAATAATAAAAAACCTTCCCCCACCAAAAAACCCCACAAGGCTGAGTAGATGGTAGTCGTGTTTTGTCAGGGGAAGGGACTACTGTGCTTTAGTGGCAGAATGGGGAATGTACTCTCAACTATGTCTTCGGTAGCTGTTTCAGGTGTCTACTACTTGTTTCTCAAACTGTTAAAAAAGATTTGGCGGTATTGCATGTGTTGCATCTTCAATCTGTTTTTCTTCTGGTTTTGTACTGGGTCCATCAATGTCAACAGAAGCTGAAAAACTGAAAATTGGATTTCAGTTTCTGGTTCTAAAAACAATGGACCCTTTTTTCTAGGTGGTGGAGTAGGAAGAGAGGTTCTTAGGATGAGCACCTTGTTCTTTAAGGTCCTGGCTGAGTAAATGCTCTGAACCAAATGGAGATCCAGGCAGTCAGGCTCTCTACAGTTTTCTTACATGTGATCAATAAAGTGAGAAAATTCTCCTTTATCTAGGCAAAATTATTTATTTTCCTTAGTAATAAACTGATGTGTACTTTTTTCCAATTTTCAGAGCATCTAAATATTTCCAATTCTATCTAAAAGTTATCCTAAAATACTCTTTGTTTATAATGGATATTTACCACTGGATCCCAGATACTTTAGGCTTGCTATTTAAAATCAGTTGTATGCTAAGTGACTCACATTTGACTGACTTTGCACTGTGGCATCGAGCTTTAGTGTTGTAACTGTTTCTTTGGGTTTGCAAGTGGTTACAGCTCACCTGCTAACTGATGATCAGAAATGTCTTAAAAGATAATCTAACTATGTTTTTGTTGTTTCTCTCAGAATGGGAGGTATTCCAGCTAAAAGCCATAAAGGAGAAAAGCTGCTTCTGTTTATGGGTATTATTGATATTCTCCAGTCTTATAGGTAAGTTGAATTTCAAGTTTTTATTGAATAAGCTGTTCTGAAATTACTTACAAATGTGGAAATTTTGTAAAGCGTTCCTGATTTTGTTTTATGTGCTTAGGTTAATGAAGAAGCTGGAACATTCTTGGAAAGCTCTTGTTTATGATGGGGTAAGTAGATTTTTTTTTTTTTTTTTTTCCCCAAACTGCTGGTATTTTAACTAATGGAACTTTGACTTATGTTGACCAGGAGAGAGCTAGCTCTGGTATATTTGTAGTCTACCATCACCACGTGGTTTGGGCTGTTGCTGAAATCTTTTAGGTCCATTTCCCAATACTTGCTCTGATTTTATTTGTTGACCTTTCAAAAAGCAATTAAAATGATCAGCTTGTCCTTATAATTTACACAAGACAATGGCCACTTAGCAGGATATTGATGAATCTGTAACTGAAAAATGTACATAATGTGAAAAAAAGCATTTCAAATGCTAGGAAGATTTTGCAGAATATAATTCATAACTCATAATTTCATAAATTAAATACTTAAAGAAAAGTTCCTGAAGAATTAACCTTTAAAAAGGAAAAACTTGTTAGGATTCACTTGTTTTGAGTATGCCTAAAATGTATGATATAGTTTACCTGAGGTTTCCAGCTTCTTTCTTGCCAATTTACTTGTGATTTACTCATGGAAAATAAGAGAGCTTTTTCAATCTTGTAGGACACTGTTTCAGTTCACCGACCAAGTTTTTATGCAGACAGATTTTTAAAGTTTATGAGTACAAGAGTTTTCAAGAAAGTTCAAGGTAAGAAAATTGTGACTTTTACTCGTTTAGATATTTTTGTAATCATTACTTTATAACGCTCCTTTCTTGGCAATAAAAGCATCCTTTCTTCAACATCATGTAGCACTTACATTGCCAGAAGTTTAGTTTCTTCACTGGAGCTAATGGGATTGTACTCTAATAGTAAAATTACAGAGAATTATTTGCTATGAATTTTTTGTCACATCAGGGACATCTGAAGGTAAAACAGGTTCCCTTATATTAGCATTGATATAAAGATAAATTTCATGAGCTAATGATGTGTCCAATCCTGCATCTCTCATTCATAGGAATAGACCCATTAATTTTAATTTATTTAATTTGCAAAAGTAAAAATTGTTTACATACCACCTCCAGCATGTTTGAAAAGATAGACATTCTTCCCTTTGATACGGATTTCTTCTGTGCTTATCAATGAAAAAAATCAGAAGTTGGATATTAATAAAGTCTTTTGTCTTTGTCACTATCACCTGTTTCTAGTTTTCCTCTCCATTTCTCCTTCCTTAATCTTTTAATTCATTTTCAAGGGTAAGATACGTATCACTATTAGCTACTTACAGGGTGTGGTGAGTTGATCCTGGCTGGACGCGAGGTGCCCACCAAGCTGCTCTATCACTCCCCCTTCTGAACTGAACAGGGGGAGAAAAATATAACAAAAGGCTTGTGGGTCGAGATAAGGACAGGGAGAGATCACTCACCAATTACCAATCACGGGCAAAACGTCGACTCAGGGAAATTAATTTAATGCATTACCAATCAAATCAGAGTAGTATAATAAGACATAAAACCAAATCTTGAAACACCTTCCCCCCACTCCTCCCTTCTTCCCAGGCTCAACTTCACTCACAAATTCTCTACCTCCTCCCTCTGAGCGGCGCAGGGGGATGGGGAATGGGGGTTGCAGTCAGAACACGTTGTTTCTGCCGCTCCTTCCTCCTCACTCTCTTTCCCGCCTCCAGGGTGGGGTCCCTCCCATGGGAGACAGTCCTCCACAAACTTCTCCAACGTGGGTCCTTCCCACAGGCTGCAGTTCTTCACAGACTGCTCCAGCGTGGGTGCTTTTCACGGGGTACAGTCCTTCAGGAACAGACTGCTCTAGCATGGGTCCCCCATGGGGTCACAAGTCCCACCAGCAAACCTGCTCCAGCATGTGCTCCTCTTCACAGGGTCACAGGTCCTGCCAGGAGCCT